GGGGGGGAGGGGGGAGGGGGGGGGGGCGGGGAAGGGGGGGGCCCCCGGCCGGCGGGGGGGGGGGGAGGGGGAGGGGGACAGAGAGCCAACGAGGGCCACACCTCCAGGAGGACAAAAGCCCATCGCTCAGGTAACCAGGAAGCACCGGCTCAGTCAGCAAAGGAAGGTGGGAGAGGCAGCAAAGGCTGGAGTCTTTGGGGGCGAAGAAAATAGGCCCAAAGGGCCCAAAACCTGCACTGAAGGGTGGAATGCAACAGGGGCCTGCTCCGGGCTCCCGGAAGCTTAGCCTCCCTCCCCACCCCTTTCCCCAGCACTTACTGGAAGAACGGGAGGTGCTGTTTACAAAGACATTGAGGAACTTCTTGGAGAAATGGAGGTCAGCCTCTGGAGAGGAATCCTCTGAGGAGGAGCTGCGCCCGTCAGGAGCCACCAGCCCTTCCCCAAAGTCACTCGCAGCATCCTCCGGGTCGGTGGCATCGCAGGCACGGAGCAGCTCGCTGTCGTCACTCAGCACCGAAGTGCAACGCTTGAGGCTCACCAACTCCAGCTGGGTGTTCTCATCCACAACCAGGGTGTACTTGACCGAGTCGTAGGCCAGGGAGTCGTCCAGCATCACTGCGGGAGGGGGCAGGGATAGCTCCTCTGGAAAAGGGGACCCCTTCAGGCTGCCCAAGCCGGGCACGTCGTCCTCCTCGGGAGAATAGGACAGGTTGAAGCAGCGGTTGGTCTTGGCAGTGGAGACCTCCAGGCCCTCCTCGCACTCTAACCGGACATCGTCAATCATGTCGTTGTCTTCCAGGATGCCCGAGTCCAGGTCCCCATCCATCGCGCAGTCCTCCTCCGCGGCCGGGTCATCCTCGTGGGGGGTCTCCCTGGGCGGAGCGGTGGCGACGCAGCAGCCGGAGTAGGGCCGCCCTGGGAAGACGGGGGTGATGACGTCGTTGGTGGAGTTGCTCATGAAGAGGTAGGGCCCCGAGTCCCCTGCCGGAGGCGCCTTCCCAACGGCAGGCTGGTCCTCCAGCGGCTTCTCCTCCCCAGCCCCCTGCAGTGAGCAGCGAAGCGTCTCCATGTCCACCAGCTCAATGCTTTGCTGGGAGCACGGCTGGGGGCCGCTCAGGGCCTCACTGGGCATCTCTGGCTCCAGGTCGGAGGCCGGGGAAATTGTGTCGGAGAGGGAGTGAGCTGCCGGGAAGCATTCGTCCGCACACTTGACGGGGTAGGAGCCCTCCGAGATCATTTTGTTCACCAGGTTGCTGAGGAGCCACGGGGAGTCCGAATCCTCGCTCAGGTCAGGCTCCGACCCGGAGTCCGACTCAGAATCGTACTCGCTGTTCCCCTCGGCTTCCTCCCCCTCCCCCTCGGGCAAGAGCTTGCGTCCCACGGGCAAGTAGAAGGACCGCCGCAGGGTTTCCAGGCTGTGGTCCGGATCGATCTCCAGCTCCAGAGGATCCGAGGGCAGCCTGTCTGTCTGGCCGATGGGGGCGGAGGGGTCTTCGTAGAACTCCTCGATTTTGAGCGGGGCCAGGCTCTCCTCCGCAGGCAGCCGCGTGCCCTCCTCTTCCTTCTTCGCATCCAGCAGGAGGGCATCCTTCAGGCCCATCACGCCCGGGGCCTCCAGGTCGGCCTCCAGGTCGGCCTCTGACCCCGGCGAGCTGGCTTCCTCGATGGAGTTCGTGAGGTGGGAGGAGCGGCCACTGCTGCTCTCGCTGCTCAGGTCCAGCTCCGTTTCTGAGATGCTGGAGATCATGTTACTAGCCAGACGGCTCCCGCTGCCAGCAAACGCTGCCTCGATTTCCCCTTCCACATCAGAGTCCGAGCCGGGGGAGCTGAGGTCCTCGCTGTGCTGGGTGCACGGGGGGAAGGCCTTGGAGGTCCGGCTGGTGAGATCTGCCTCGATGCCAGGGTCCGAGGAGGGAGACGTGGTATCGGATGAGGCAGATGGCAACCCTCGCAAATGGTGCCCTGGAGGGCCCTCTCCTTCGGGGCTCAGTGGGGCAGCAGCTTCTCGTGCTGGGCTTGCATGGGGTCCCAAGGAGCAGCGCTCTCCAGGTGCACCATCCCTGGAGCGCTTGGTGGGCTCCTCCTGAGAGAGGGCCACGTGGAGCCCATCCACGGGGGAGCCTGAGGGTCCGTGCCCTGCTGGGTCCCCAGCCAAGGCAGCCCCCTCCTCTTTCTCTGGACACGCCACCGCATCTCTCTGAAATCGGGCACAGTAGCTCTCCGTGGCCGGTGACCTGTGAGGGCTGGCACCGTGGGGCTGGGATCCCGAGCTGCGGGCAGGGCTGCTCCGAGCTTCGAGAGGCTTCACGGGCGCTGCGCTGGGCAAGGCGGAAGGGGGTTGTGGAGCTGAGCCCCGGGAGACAACGTTCATGTTATAATCCTCCCCGGCAGGCAACCCAGGGACGCCTCTCTGCAGCCCCTGGCTGTTGCCTTCCGTGTCCAAGAGTGGGGGCTTGCGAGGGGCCTGGGGCAGACCCGGCTCTTTGCTGCTTGGCATGTCCCTGCGGGGTCCATCCTGGAGACAGGAGTGCAGGGGAGACGATCGCTCTGCGGAGGAAAGCAGAGAGCCCCATTAGACCCGGGAAGCCGGAGCACCATCCGAAGCCCTTAACGGGAGTCGGGAAACTGAACCAAAGGCAGCGTCCTGTTCCTGCGGAAATCGGGATTTTTTTCTTCTTGGTCCCAAAACAAAGCATTCTGTGGGCAGCATATAGTGGGAGTCTCCCGCCCTTGCCTTTAATCAGGAACATCTGGTAGGCAGGCGCCCGAAATCCCCTTAAGGCAGTTCAGTGCCTCCTCCCCAGATGGCTGGAAAGAGGGAGGACCGGCGGGGAAGAGCTCTGCCCCTCACTGATCCTCACCCCACCCATCTCCAGCTCTGGCAGGAAGGCAGCTGCTGAATTGCCCCCTCCACCCATTCTGAACGGGAAGACGGGCCTCACTCTTCCGCTGCCCTGTCCGAGAGCAGTTAGCAATTACCGGGGTGCTGGGCCAGGCGCCCTGCCTGGGCCGGATTAGGCCAACAGTCTCTGGAGTCCCAGATGACCCATACAGTTGCCCTCGGCTCTCCAGGCAGGAGTGTCTCCAGCCCTGTTTGCAGAGGGGGAGCCAGCAGAGGCTGGGGTCACTTAGCTTCCAACCCCCGCCCCCTTTGCATTTTCCAGGCACACCCCACTGCGTCTGGGGGTCTCCCAGCAGAGGCCTGGAGAGAACATGCCAGCTGGAGAAGTAGATCCATTAAACCCAGATCTGTGGGAGGGGGTTTACTCACTGAGAGCTGCTCTGACTTTCCAAGAGAAAAAGGCTGAAACTGTTTTTTTAATGTTAACAATGTTTTTCAAACAATTGTTTGATGAGGGGTGGTCCTTGGGGGGAGTTTATGCCCCAAGAGCTGAGTGCCCCAGGAATCTTTGGGCAAAGTCCCCATGGCATCTGAAGGTCTACAAAGTCAGACAGAACAGCACACCTGTGAGCAGAACCGAGAGCCAGCCACCACCTCTGGGAATGTGGTTTCCTGGAAGAAACAGGAGATCTCACCTGCGTGGGAGGCCGAGGAAGAGGAAGAGGAGGAGGAGGAGGAGGAAGACGAGTGCAGCAGAGTCTCTTGCCAAGTGGCCCGCTGCAGGGGGGCAGCCATGTTGCAGCCGCTGTTGTTGTTCAGGGAGTCCTGGTTGTGGAGAAAATGAGAACACAGCGAGTCAGCCGGGTAGCATCCAGGAGGAAAGCCCCGGTTTACGCCCTGCCGTTGCCAGCTTGGCACACGGGCTTGGCTATCTTCGAGGCCCCGGATCAGAACCAGGGCAGTGCCAGAATTGGGACTCCATGGAAGCTGATTTTGCAGATCAGCTCCATCGGGTTACCTGAGGGACCGTCTTCTCCCAGTTGTTTCTACCTATCCAATCCATCCGGCAGGATGGGCGCGCTCCAGGTCCCGTCAGCCAAGGAATGTCGGCTGGCGGGGACCAGGAGACGTGCCTTTTCCACTGTGGCACCTGCCCTCTGGAACATCCTCCCTCCTGAGATTAGGATGGCCCCAAGGCCTTGAAGACCTGGCTTTGTGCCCAGGCCTGGGGCCCCGAGTGTGCGAAGGGCCCTGTTTCATGGTTGTGCTGACACCAACAGTTTTTTAAGATCTCTTGGCTATATTTCTATTTCATTTTCTGTATTGTTTTAAGTGTTTGATTGTTTTATTACTGTTAGCCACCCAGAGTCACTGGTCTGAGATGGGTGGCTATATAAATTGAATGAATGAATGAATAGATAAAAATCCAACAGCAGAACAAGAGGTGGGCATAAGCTCCTTTGCACCCAGGGCCTGCTGAGGCGTTCCAGAAGAGGCCTGGAGGGAGGGGAAGGGCCGGCCACTGCCCAAGGAAGGCAGGGCCAGGCTTGCTAGGCGAGGGCCGCCGGAGAGAGGGGAGCGCGGGCTTTGCACGGATTCTGCTCAGGCAGCCCCTGAGGCCGCTTTGGCCGGAGAACCTGGAAATCGGTTGCCAAGGCGAGGAGGGGCACTGGCTGGCACCAGCGAAGGCACCTGCCAACACTCCCGCTCCGGTTCAGACAGGGACGAGTCCCGACTGCAGCTCGTGCCCCAGCCTGAAGCAAAGGCATCGATGTGGGGGCGACGGAGGACTCTCTCGCCGCGCCCAGGCTGGCAAGGACACACGCGCTGCTCCTTGACCACCTGCGGCAGTTTTAAATTTAGAATTTAGGTCTATAAGGCAGTATATATATATATATATAGTTTCTCTGACTTGGGCCTTTATCTTTTGGATAGGGTCCTAGTTTTAGTTTTCAATGATATTGTGATTTTAGCTCTAGGATTAGTATTATTCTGCTAGAATATTATATACAGCATTCATATCTAAGATGTCACCCGAGAGGACGTTCCCTGATGCATCTCATTCTTTTTATCTGCTGTTTCTTTGACTGCCTCTTTTTATGCTGGGCATTGACCAAAATAAGGGTGGACTGACTGAACTGGTGCCCCTCAAGCACTGTTGATTTTAACTGCATTTCCTAAACAGCTGCTCGTGGGTTGCTTTATTCCCCGTCAGTATACATTCCTGATTTTGTTCCTTAGTTCGTCTACAACCATCTCCAACAACTTCCAGAATCTATCATTAACTTTGCTAACCTAAGACATGTTGATATGGCAACTGCCTTAGCTGAGAAATGTTGCTTTTACACCAACTTTATTCTTCCATTTAACATCATTTTTACAAAAGAGCCAGTAATGTCTTTCCCAGGTCCCTGGATTCCCGTGCAATTCCTTCTCCTGATCTAGCTACAATTACATGGCGGCCCGTCCACTACGACCGTGAAGGTCGCAGACCTCAAATTCCTTTAGTCAAGAGTTCCTTCCTTCCTATTTAATACTGATTTGGAATTAGAAGCAAACTGCTGCTTAGTCAGTTTTTGGC